CAATGAGGAGCACGGATCAGGCCTCGATCCGTTCTGCTCCCCATACAGTTGCCATGAATCGGGGTTGACTAAGCAACAACTAATAACAAGAAACATAATGTCAAATAAACCATAGGCCATTTGCACTTAAAAATGACAGCTTGGATTTGGTGAGTAGACATCCTTTAAAAAGTCTACTGTGGTGTAGGGGAGGTGGGAGGGTGCCGGTGGAGGTGTTCATAGCTTTTGAATATAGACCACTAAAACCAAATAAAGAAACAAATAGATTCATGGACCAGCAGTGTGAATCTTGCAAGAATCGTGTTTACAAGGCCTATGTAGTTATCCCCAAGGAAATGCTTATTGCTCAAGGAAATGCAAACAAACTCAAGTGGCACGGTAGTGACGCGCTGGTCTGTTAGCCCACGGGTCAGTGATTCCAACCCACCAATATCTGTGTGCTGGAAGGAGTTGTGACTGGCTGCTTCTGAATGGGTTTGCTCCTTCACTCACTGCCTCTGGGTCATTGCTGACTCATAGAGGCCCCTCAGACACCATAGAACTGCTTCTGTGGGTTTCCAACATTGTACATTTTTATAGGAGTGGAAAGTCACACCTTTCCCCCTCAGAACAACTGGCTAGTGGTTTCGAGCTGCTGACCTTGCAGTTATCAGCCCACCTTGTAACGTGATCCACTACACTGCCACAGGTCCTGTAGGTTTGTGGAGAGTAGAAATCAGCTCAACAGCAATGGGATTTGGTTTAAGGAGACGTATAGTTTACATTCTGAGTCTTCACACTATTTGTGCTTAGCGTTCTGTCACAGGGGCTGAATATTGGGTCAGGATAGCAATCCCCTTTATACAGTGACTCACTCATTGAACGTCCATCCCCCCATTACTTTGTGGGCTCCATGACAATAAAGACCGTCTTCATTATCGAGTGCTGCTGTCCCAGAAACACCACAAGGATTTTGACCATCAGTTTCCCCAGAGGGCTAATTGGGCATTTTTGGCGTGGCTCCGAGTGTGGTCTGAGAAGTTTTCCTTCTATAAACGTTGGAAAGCTGTTGGTGCTTCTATGCCATCAAATGACATAAATAGACAAAAATGGATGCCACTAGTGGCTTTTGGAGTCAAGGCGAGGAAAATCGGTGCAGAACAGCTGGATACAGAAGCATCAGTAGTCGTGCAAGGGGAATGGTGTACAGGAACATGACGACGGGCTGGACTGTAGTAGCAGCATCCAAAGAAAAGAAAACAAATTTGAAAGGAATTTTGACAAAGATTCAAGAGGACTTCACCAGTACCAGAGATGAATCTGAGATTTTAGTTGGAGCAGGTAGGTCAATGGTGGTGTTATGACTGAGTTCTTGCGGTGGATGGTTGTCAATGCCCAACCAACTCCATTTGCCAAGCTGATTCACTGTCTCCCAGCTGCGGTTAGTGTGGTTCCCTTATAATCTCACTACTCCCTCAGCAGTGGGAGCCACCTGGTCCTGAGATGCCTGAAAGATCACACCCTCCTCCTCTAATGCTAATGCATTATCAGTGAGTCCATTTCAACCCAGAATGACCCCATAGGACAGGGTGGAACTCCCTCATGGATTTCAAAGACTGTAAATCATTATGGGAGTAGAAAGTCTCATCTTTCTCCCATGGAGTAACTGGTGGTTTTGAACTGCTGACCTAGTGGTTGGCAGCTCAACACTTAAAGCACTAGTCCACCAGGGCTCCTTCTCTCTCTCTCTCTCTCTCTCTCTCTCTCTCTCTCTCTCTCTCTCTCTCTCTCTCTCTCTCTCTCTCTCTCTCTCATTGTCAAAAGCACCCTGCCAGGCTTTAAGGTGCCTTCCCTCTCCAGAGCTCCTTGAGGGATCAGGCTGAGGCTAGACTTCAGCTAAACTACATCTTTGCTTGCCTTCCCCGGCCTGGCCCACCCGTCTTCCCTCATTTCCTCTGCAATTTATCTCCTGAGATCACTCCCTCAACAAACTACTGGCCAAAACAAGAACACCCCTGCTACAGCTCCATGTGTAGGGAACCTGGCCTAACATCATCAGATAACAGCAATAGAAGACGACTTAAGAAAAACATACTGTCACAAGTTGATTTTGACTCATAGAAGAGGGCTGAGAGGAAGCCAAAAACCAGTCATTAAGTCGACGCCAACTCAGAACAGCTCTCGATAGGGCTCCCAAGACTGTAAATCACGCCTGTGGTACAGCCTCGTCTTTTTCCCTCAGACTGTGTGGTGGGTTTGAACTGCCAGTCTGTGGTTAGCAGCCCAATGCTTAGCCCAAGATGACAATTAATTTCAGTTTGAGATGTTTCCAGAAAGGCTAATGTTAAAAGAAGGGAAGAAATGAGACACACTTAAGTTCAAAAGTAATGTCTACAATTTACTAGTCTTAGAGTCTCAGACAAACTAGTTACTGCTGCATGAGTCACGGTCTCATGCCGTCTTTGTCAGCACGGTGGCTGAGTGGTACTTGGACCAGCTGGAGACCTCTATCCTGGGCAGCTTTATCAGTTTGCTCAGGAAGGTTTCAAATAGTCTCATTTTTCTATGTATGCCAAGGAATAAGAAGGTGAGGGAAGCACGAATTAACCACTCCACAGCCCCAGTGCTCATGTGTGAAATGGAATAGCTGTACAACTCCATTGTTTCGCCCTGAGGAGGCGATAAGATAACTCAGGGATTGCAGTTAAGTGTACAAATACCAGTGGACATGGAGTCAAACTCGACTCATAGTCGCCATGCGCGTCAGAGTAGAACTGTGCTCCAGATGGTTTTTAATAGTTGATTTTTTTCAAAAGTAGATTCATCGCCAAATCTTTCTTCCAAATACTCCTGGGTAGACTCCAACCTCCCGCCAAGCATCTGTACCACGCAGGGATCCTGTACACCATATGGTTGTTGTTGTGTATCATCAGATTGATTCTGATTCATAGTGACACCATATAACACAGTAGAACTACCTCACAGGGTTTACTTGGCTGAAATCCTTATGGAGAGGCAGTGGGTCTTTAATCTCCACAGAGCGGTTAGGTGTGTTCCAGTCGCTAACCTTGTGGTTAGTATCCAAGCGTGTTACCCATTGGTGCCCCCCATGGACACTGGATAGAAGAGCACCAAAATAACCAAGCCCATTTCCACTGAGTTGTCTTGACTCATATCGCAAGCCTGGAGGACAGACTTGAACTGCTTTGTAGCATGTTCAAAGCTGTGTATCTCAACGAAAGAAGATTGCTCTATTGTTTCCCTACAATAACTAACCTTGTTGTTAGCAGTGAGACGAGCACATTAACCATTATGCCACCAGAGCTCCCGGAGACATGAGTGAACCTCAGGAGATGGGGTTATCATTTGTGTTACCACTCGGGGGAGCCATCCTGGAGGCCAAGCCTGGGCTTGAAGACCCTGATGGGAGCTTCTGGGCTCTTATCCAAAAACTCATTCCCTTGGTCTCTTTTGGTGTTAAAGGGAAGTGAGAAAGCGTGCCAACAGTGACAGAGCTTTGATTATTCTCCCTGGGGGCCGTCATTTATTTTTCAGATGAGGCTGGAGCTGAGAGGATGGGGGCCATGGGGGAAGGCGTGTGAAACTAGGATCCCTCTCTGACACTGTCCTGCACTCTCAATGTCCTTGTAAGTGAGCTGCGCCCTTCATCCCGGAGCTTTGAAGGCACTGGGCATGCCTTATTTATAGACAACAACTGCCACTGAACTTCAAAGGGGGCACATAGCCAAGCCAGAGATGTGGAAGGAACACTCTGAAGTGCTAAGTTCTCAAAATCAGAGGGAAATGTGGTACACAGAAACTTCTCTGACCATGCTCAGAGCCAGGCCCGAAATACTCAATTGGCCCTCTGGGGAAATTGATGACCAAAATCCCTGATGTCAATCCCAGAATGCAACTTTCAGCCAAGGCCAGCCATACAAGGGGGCTTAATGTCACATTCTCCTACTGTCTGACACACTCCTGTGTTACAAACGAATCCATGGTCTTTGGGGACCATGTCCTCCAGAAAGTGAAAACCCAATTCTCACTTTAAATTCTTCAAAAATAAGAAGCTAGTGTGTTAGGAAGGAAACGGTCCCCCAAAGTCATTCATGAGTGACCCTGTATAGGATTGCCGAGGCTCTAAATTGACACTGAAGCCCGTAGCGTCATCTTTATTCTAAGGAGTGGCTGGAGGATTTCAAATACCAACATTGCAGACAGAAGTCCAGTGCTTACCTGACAGACAGCAGTACCAGAGCTCCTTAGAAATAGATCTACATCCAAACCCCCAGAATCTGTGAATAGTGTCACTCGATGAGGCAAAATGGGCACTGCAGATGTGACTGAGGTAAGGATTTTGAGAAAGGGACCTGCTCTTGGATTATCCAGGTGGGCTCCATCTAATGATAAGGGGACTTAGGAGAGGGAAGCAGGCTTATATGTGTTAATAATACATTACTTCTATGTAATCCCTTTAAGGGATCGCCGGTGGCATAGTGGTTATGCATTGGGCTGCTAACCTCAAGGTCAGAAGTTCGAAACCAGGAGTCTCTCCAAAAGAGAAAGAGGAGGAGGCTTTCTACTCCTGTAAAGAGATACGGTCTTGGAAACCCACAGGGGTAGATCTACCCTGTCCTACAGGCTCATCGTGAGTCAGGATCGACTGGATGGCTTTGAGTTTGGTTAATCCAAATCAATGGGATGGAACAAGTTTGGGTTTGAATTTGGTTCACCTTCTCTCTCATCTTGCTGCCTTCACAGAGCCCAAATTACTCCAGGAGCAGGTTCGTGATTCGAATTCAAATAAACTGTGTATTAAAAATTTATAAACTATCAAGGGCTCATGAGCGAGGGGGGAGCGGGGAGGGAGGGGAAAAATGAGGACCTAATGTCGGGGGTTTAAGTGGAGAGAAAATGTTTTGAGAATGATGTACAAATGTGCTTTACACAATTGATGTGTGTATGGATTGCGATAACAGTTGTATGAGCCCCTAATAAAATGTTAAAAATATATATATATTTGGAAAATATTATTTCAATGTATAGGTGTCGATATGCATTGTATGTACATGCGTGGGGAAGATTGGTGGGATATTCATATGGAAATGTGAAAAGTTAACTTTAGAGGACTTTATTTCCTAGAAATTTTCTTTCTAAAGCTACCGCTCGAGTTTAGGGGAAATGGCGTAGAGAACTTGGGATCTGACTACACACAGTGTAGAGGTGGCGGTGGGGGCCATATTGAGCCTTGAAATTGAACACCAACCCAGAGGCTGAAGCATTTATTAGGCACAGACAGCCTCTCAAAATTATAGGCACCTTACTGACCAGGCTGGACCAAAACATCTTACCAGTTATTTACTTCAAAGAGTACCGTTAGACCAGCTTCTTTCATTTTCAATAGTCACCAAAAAAAATGTATTCGGTGAAAATCAACAGTTCAGAGAGATAATCCATGAAAAAGAAAAAAAACAAGTTTGTGATCAAATAAGTTTAGACGATGCTAAGAGGTAAAGGTCTTTCTTGGAGTATTACAAAGTGAACATCTTGGCTTATTAAAAGCTCTATGAACTTCTGCAGAAAGGAGTTTTATTGACATTGGTTTAAGTATTTCCCAAACATTTGTTCCATCACAGATTCATCACTTCGCTTAGAATTACGTCACCTAAGAGAAGCAACATATTCTAGAAATACTGTTTGGCATTTTCCACAGACAATTTTTTTTCTGTAATTGGTCATTTGTAATCATTTCCAGGATGAGCTACATGGTCTCTGTGGTTTATCTTTTTGAGTGTCAATGCATCCTTTTGTCACCAAAGAATTCAGATATTTGATCTTAAAAGTTCAAGCATGTGGGACCAATGGAACTGCTTAGAGACAGAAGAGCAGAGAAGCAGGTAGAACACACCATTGCCTTTCCGAAGGACCACGAGACTCTTCCCATGGGACTCGGAGCTGGAAGACCCACCAGTGCTGCAGAGATGATACAATAGGGAGTGCTGGATCCAATATGCCACTTCCTATGGGTCTTCTCTGTCCTACTAGAAAGGCAAGGCCGTTTGGTGGTCCTGAGACTGCTAGTGTCAGAATGAAAGGGGTTAATCAGGTGTGCCAGGGGAGCTGTGTGCAGCTGGGTGGAGAAACCTAAATGGATATGGATTGGAAAGGATCCTGAGGAATCAAGGGAGCTCAGGGTCTTCAAAAGCAGAGAAGTGACTTCCCAGTGCTCCACTATTATATATAAATATATATATATAATACTTGCCGTCAAATCTATTCTGACTTCTAGTAACCTTTTGTGTCCAGCATAAAAGGTCCTCCACAGAAAACCATGCTTGGTAAACTTGAATGTCCATCTTAATTATCTTAAACTATTCTTCTTTCCCATCAGAGACGCTCATTAAAAGGGACCACGAAAGCATATGATACATCATTTCCTTTGTACCTTTGGTATTAGCTCCTTTAATTAACCTGAGCCTCAGTTTAGTTCATGCTTTAAGAATGCATTGTTTTCCCCAATTGAACTATAAGGTACAATGAGAGTTAGTTAAATCTACATAGAGTAAAACAAACCAAGGCAAACTCCCTGCCATCGAGTTGATTCTGACTCATAGTAATCTTATAGGATGGGGTAAACAAACTGCCCCTATGGCTTTCTGATATTGTAACTCTTTACAAGAGTAGCAAACCTCATTCTCCCTCAGAGCAGCTGGTAGTTTAGAACCGCTGACCTTGTGGTTAGCAGTCCAATTTGTAAACAACTACACCACAAAGCTCCTTACCTCCCACCCAGTCAAAGAATAGGTTCCAATTAAGTTTGGCCCCTTCTGAAGAATGCAAAGCACAAGACAAATCAATCTCTTAGTTTTACCCTTACTACTCTAACTTCTCTCTAATCTAGGTGAACTATGGGTAATATGAGCTTTAGGTACTGACTTAAAGAATTTAGAGACAGATGAAATAGAAGTCGGGGACAGGGGATGGGTAGAAATGGAGAGGACCCTTCTCACCCACTTGATTTGCATTACCAATAATGAGCTGGCCAAAGAGATTTCAGTAGTGCTATAGACATACTATGTGTTTATGATCCCTTGTGTTTGTTGTCTGGCTCTAGCTAGCTGCCTCCCTGAATCATTGTGCATGCCCTGATTTCCAAATCAATGCAGTCTCCGTTCCCTTGTCCCCAGGTATGGGACCTAGGAAAGTCACCCTGATTTAAGCAGGGTAACTGTAATGAACGTGGCCAAAGTGAGAAGCCCATGAAGCATCCTGGGAAGGGATGTAAAAGCACAGAGCAGAATTAGGAGTCAAACCTGATTTGTGTCTGGCCTCTGGGCTCCAGCCACTTCCTTTCTTCTTTCACCTTCTCCCCCACGCTTGTTCTGGAACTGTCTGCCTGTGAGGGTTGTTTTCACACGGTCTTTCCAAAGATAGGCAGATGTGCCCCTTAGCCGAAAGCACCTTCTCATTAGAGATCTCCTATAGCTTTACTGTCAATGGGACTCTGTTAGCAGACTGACCCTTCTCTGCTTTGTACCTATGAGGTGAGGGGACCCCACTTCTGAAAGCGGGCATGGGCCTAGTTTCACTCCTGCTTCAGCACGAGCACGAGTATAGAGACGTTCCTCCATCTCTGTCTTTCAGATTCTCCTTTGCAGCTAAAGAAAGTGCTTTATTGGTTTCTTTTGAACATCTGGTGAGACAAAAATCACAACCATGTGTTGTTTTTTTTTAAACATTTTATTAGGGGCTCATACAACTGTTATCGCAATCCATACACACATCAATTGTGTAAAGCGCATTTGTACATCATTCT